GGAGGCACCCTCCACTGGAAAATTCCCCAATACTACCGGTATTTTTGACACACATCACTGCCTCGTAGCACTTCTCAGGGAAAACAGGAGCACAGGGAGTAGGTAAGGATTCTGGCCCCACTGAAGACAATTCTAGACCGTGAGAGGCCATAACAAACAGTGACAAATCCCAGAGCTGTGTTGGAACAGGAGTCAGAGGAACTTGCCGAGGACAGCAGAGGAAGTGCTTGGACGTTTTCCAGCTGACACTATCAGGATTGTTTGCAAGCTGGAAGTGTTTTCAGAATCTCCGAGTTGAAGGAATACGAGCCGTTAGCAGCAAGCAAAAAACACCTTCTGCATTTATAGTATATCTGAAGACGGTGGCCAACCTTCTGCTGTGAACCTCACCACAGACATCCATCCGTGTCTTTGGGACCACTCAGCTGGACTGCTATAAAGGAGCACCACACAGAAGTTTCACCTCCTGCAAAAGGAGCTGTCTGCTTACTTAATGCCATCATCCTGGGGAACATATAATGCATGCATATAGTCCAGAAGCAGTACTGGCTTCCTACTGGTGTATATGAAAGCATATTCTACAAGGAGATGGTATTATTTATGCAGTTCAATGTGAAGTGTTTCAGCAATGAGGCGTTAACGCTCCCCTTGAGAGCCTACTCCACCACTTAATACTATTTGTATTTAGATGATTTCTTTAGGGTTCCTTTCAAAGCTATAACTGTCATGTTATTTGTCCTCTGGGACAGTTACTACAGAGCTGAATGCATCTGTACTGCTATTCTGTTTATCAACTCCATTTTCAACTTGACCATTTAATTAGCAAATGCTTTAAAGTAGAATAATTTAAACTGGAATATAAGATTTTCCCAGTCCACTATTCCAGACATTTTATGTACAGGTGGAACACAGTCCTCCTCCTGTTACCCTTCTGGTAAAGAGCAAGTCCAAGTCCATGCAAAAAGTGGAACCGATGCTCATCTTTTCTGCTAAAATGGCAAAACAAGACAGAGACTTGTGTGTTTAGGTAAGGAAATATTTACCTTCAGATGTCTTCCAGGACTTCCAGAGATCTTCCACACTAATGAGTTTGTCCTCTCCATGGAAGGTGCTGTGCTTAACTGTCGGGTCGTGATAATTTAAGTCTTCCCTCAGGAACTATAAGAAGAACAGAAAGAGAGAGTTATTCTCAGATTCATAGATGTTAAGCAGAGAGAGGCAGATATTAAGGTCAGTGTGGATCACTTTAATCCTCTGGTCCGACCTCTTGTTTAACATGGGCCATAGATCAGCATCCGGGGCATCCCTATAACTTCTAGTGTTGACTGAAGAAGACTTCAAGTGATGGAGACTCCACCACATCCTTACGCACATTGTTCCAAAAGTTAATTCCCTTCAGTGTTAAGAATATGATTTTTATTTCCAGTTTGAATTTGTCTAGCTTCAGGTTTACAATCACAGCATCATTTTTAGCTTTTCCTGAGACTTCTACCATTAAAAAAAACCTCTTCCTGATGTATGTACCTGTAGCCAGCGATGGAGCTCTCTCACGACCCTATGTCTCTCACTAGACATAGTTTGCAGACTTCAAATAATTCTTGTAAGCTCTTTTCTGAATCCTCTCCCATTTGCAAGCCTTCCTTTTAAAAGGGTGGACATCAGAACTGGAACCAGCATCTAGCAACAGTCTCCCTAATACTGAACAGAGTTAATACCTCCCCCTTGATCCTACTCAATATTTCCCTGCTTGTATATATTCAAGGAATGCATAAAGTCTCTAATTACAGCATGGCATGAGGAATTCACATTCAACAAGGTATCCCATTTGTTATCAACAAATCATAAGAAGTGAGGGTGGAAAGGGACCTCAGGAGGTCACATCTAGTCCAACCCCCCGCTCCAAGCAGGACCGGCCCCAACTACATCATCCCAGCCAAGGCTTTCTGCAGCTGGGTCTTAAACACCTCCAAGGATGGAGGTTCAGTTTATCTACATTTTCAAAATAAACCCCCTCCTTTTCTAAATGTGCCCAACCTTGTTTGTGGGACCTTGCAGTTGGCTTTACTAAAATGTGTGTTAGTCAAAAAAAGCCCACCTCGTCCAGATTAGTCTAATTCCCCTCACTGTTACCAGCAAGTGCTTTGTAACATGTAAATAATGAGCAATTAATTGCTCTACTCATGAGCAACATTTAAAAATCGCCTGGTCAACAGAAGCAGCAAAGGAAGAAGATTCGATGCCTGTCTTTCCCTTGACATTCTTTTCTGGTGACCATGGGAAACCTCAGCCAGGGACCAACAATCTGAGAATGAATGAAACCGAACCAAAAAGAGAACTGTGATCTCCAACTGAAAGGACGCCAGGGTGGCGTGTTTTGAAGATACTGCTACAGTAGAGTCCTGCATCCAGGCCCACAACAGATTAGGCTACAGGGGCTAAATATGAATATCCTTTGTAATGCATCTGGGGACTTCTCTTCCTGCAAATCAGGAAGTATCTAATAAGACACTGAAGAAAGGATTACAAAACCCAAACAACAACAACCTAACTAGGACTTTTCAAAATGCAGCCTGTTTTTTCCTTTGGATCATCTTCCCCTAGATATTCAACTACATGTCACAGCAGGAGACAAACTACTTCACTGCAACAGGACAAAAATATACAGCGATTGTGACCAGCTTTGACTAAAGTTCTGTGTCCCATGACCCACGTCCCCTCAGATGCTGCAGAACACCACTCTGGGATGCCAAGCACTTCACTACTAAAGTTGGAGGATCAAGTTGCGAGCAGAATTGCAGCTTTCCTCCAGAATGGCTGGTCCCTGGAGCCTCTTCCTAGCTGCATTTAAGAGTTCACATGGAACAGCTGGAAAACGTCGTCAAAAATGTCTTTGACTGCATGGGTAAAACTGGAAACCGAGGGCCCAAGTGGGCACAGGCACAAGCATGTGCCCGCGAATGCTGTCAGCAGGCAGTGCTCGACTGGATACGTGGTTGTGCCCCCAACTAACAGCAGAAAAGTAAGCGGTGGGACCAATGGCAACCCATCCATCAAAAACATACAAGAAATATTCATATATGTTGTCAAGTACTTGCAGCTGGACAATGTGACTGCTTAAAAGCAGAAGCTAGAGCGTGTTTAAGAGGAGTCGGTAATTTTGGTCCTGATCTTCAGGAGTCTGATGTATAGAAAAACTCACTTATTCTAAATTTAAATTCTGACCTTAACTTTGTTTCATTTTTGTTTAAATTTCCTTTGCATTTTAATTAAAGGAAACACTGGCACAATAAAAACCTGACAAAAATGCACAGAAAATAAGTTAACAAGCAACAATACATAGCTGTCACATAGCATGAACACAAATACAAAAGCAAGGATATATACACTAGACAGCAGTGGTTCAGACACAGTTTGGCCCAACTCATAATGCAGGCAACGTAGATTTGCACGGCACAGACTAACTAAATAAGAGATATATAGAAAGCACAAGCTTTTGCAAGCTGGAGCTCGCTTCATCAGATGCTGTGGAAGGACATGTGCAGAGCAGTATATAAAATAGTGTGGCTTGAATACAAACGGTAGGAAGGGAAGAGAAGAAGGGCAAGGGAGCTGTGCTGGGACCAGCATATAAAGACCTATAGGAACAAAGGAGTCACAAAAGCCAACCTAGATGCAAAAAAACCAGCTGAACATAACTAGCTTCATATTGTACTTTGGTCCAGGTTTCAAATACTGCACCTGTGCAGATAAAGTCTTTACAAGTCATCCCCAGATCTTTCTCCCCTCTGTCATCCAAAGGGGCTAGATACCCTCTTCAACACTGAAAACATAAGAACAAGGAGGAGAAGCAATCTCCTAATCCTTCAAGTCTGGTCCCTCCTACCATAATATCCACTCCCACTCAGGAACTAATTCAGATCCACCTTGAAAGCAGTCCTGTTCCCACCCGCTGGTCGGCTGTTCAGGAGTCTTAGTGCTCCAGCCTTCATTCACTCATGGCCATGTGATCCCCTTTTTTCTGCTTTCGCTTAAATAAGTTGTCTTCCACCCTGGATGAAAAATTTATACAGTGATCAAATGGGCAAAAGAACTGATAGGAACGCAGAGTGCTGTGCCTTCTCATCAGCACTGCCAAAGGCAACCAGATGCAAAGTATGAGGAGGGCTGGAAGGCAGCAAAGAGCCATAAAGAGAGGAGAAACCCTGTAGAAACAGAAGGAACCAAAAGTCAGCAAAGAAAACCCTTACAAAATGGAAAGACTGCCTGGGGGAGAGACAGAGAAGACTGGGGCACTTGTTTAGACCACGAGGGGAGATGCGAGATGTGTTCAAAATAACCAGTCCTACAGACGAGGCAGACAGGGCTCTCCTACTGACCGCCTTGCAACACGGGAGGGTAAATGTCAAGCCCCGGGTTATCATTTACATTTACCGAGGGCACAGTTCACAATCACAAGACCATTTTAAAGCTGAGAGCTCAGCAAGGACCACAGAAGCAGCAGACATTTATACAAATAAGAAAATACTGTGTTTGTATGAGATAAGGATTTTAAAAAATCCCTAAAGAGATGTAAATCCTATTCATCATGTCCCAGCAACAAGACAAACACTAACTGCTGGCTTAGGAAGAGGATACTGGGGGGGCAGGTTTGATGCAGGCATTCAGGCATCTTTGTCCTAAATGTCTGGGCCTGTTGCTGTTGGCAACAAGACTCTGGACCTGAGAAGACAGGGGTTTGATCCAGTATGGTAATACCAGCAGTTATTCCCTACGCAGCTAAGCCTTCGCCCCAAACCTACAGAGTCAGTGTGGCGAACAGCCTCATCCTGACACTAGGAGGCAAAACTCATGCTGGCCTCAATGGACAGGTCAATACTTTAAGGACACTTCAATGCAGGATGCTCCTCAGTGGACCCGCAACAACGGAGACATGCAGAAATAAGAGGGGACAATTGATTTTTCTGAACAACTTGCAGACAAAGCAGCCAACCCAACCAAAACATGTCCAACAGCATGGTCTTCCTTTACCCCTGCTCCACCATGCATCACTCATCCTCAAATCCGCACTCCGATTTCCTTTGCTCTTCTGTATGAAATTCAGGCCCCTCTTTTCACCTTCCAAGCAGGCAACATCCACAGACATTTTTGTCGTGGCCTATTCCAAAACGCCGTTTCTCCCTCTGATGCTCCAGAGGATGGCTTTTCAGCCACTCCATCTCCTCTTCCCATGCATATCTTTGAGCGTGTTTTCAGGTAGCTCCACATTGCCAGCAAACTCTTCCCACTATAATATAACAGGATTCCTCTTTTCCTCATAAAGAATCACAGTAAGAAAACAGTGGTTCCAAGCAATGACATGGATGGGATGGGAAAAAGACACAGGAGAGGAAGGATGGAGAGGCCTGTGGCTGTCCTTGTTCATTATTTTAATGACTCCTGCTTCTTCCAGCAGTGTTAGGGTCTCTCAAAGTGGCTGTGCTTAAGCCCAATTTTGTAAAGAAAAAAAAGGAAAACGGCTCCAGTTCGTGGGCTTAAAGGACACTGGGGCTCAGAAGGGCTGAGCACCAATGAAGAGCCTCGTTAATGAACACAGGAGCATTATTCAAGGTGTCACAGCAGGCAGCTTGCATTTTGCACATGCACCTGGCATTTAAGTGTGCCCTTAGTCACACATTTTGGAAAGAAAAATCCCTTATCGCAAGCTCCTCAAGGTGACTTAAGTTTCCTTATTTTCTAATGCATCAGGTGCTGATGCTGCAGCCGTAAAAGCAAGCCTGCATCCTCTCTACGACTGCTTAGCCGTACTGCAGGTCATGGCTCTGAAGCACCTCTCCAGCAGCTGCTCAGAAGAGACCAGACAGAGTTTGATTAAGCAAAAGCCGGAAAGTAATAAAAACTGAACACGACCACATGACATCAGCCCCTTGCTCCCATTCTTTCCAGCAGTGCTCTTATGATTATCAATCTCACAGCAGCCCAAGCTGCCGGTCTATCCATGGAGAAATATACCGAAGTGAATAAATGGAAAATTGTCCCAAACAAGGGAGCAAAGCGAATTAAAAAAAACCGAAACCACACACACACAAAAACAGGCAAGCTTTGCTACTTCCCTCATCTTCGGCTTGTGACCTACATAGGGTACGGAGCAATGTCAGCTG